GTATGTATGTATGTATGTATGTATGTATGTATGTATGTATGTATGTACGATCGTGGGTCCTTGAGGAAATTTCTCAGCTTTTTGGAGGTTTCAGGGCCTGACAGGCCCCCAACAAGACTTCATCACCACTTGGAGAAGTAGCTGCAAAGTTCATTGGTTGCCACGAGAGGCCGTTTGCGACAAACCAAAATCAATCAAAATCAAATCCCATACAAGACCGAGACATGATACCTGTCTTTTTTTTCTGCTTCTCTGCTTTTGCTGCCTTTGGTAGTTTTTGCTTCTGCACAGCTTCCTTCCTTGCTTCCTTCCTTCCTTCCCTCCTATTTGCTTCCTTGCTTTTTTCCTTGCTTCCCTCCTTCCTCTCTGACTTCCTTCCTTCGTTTCTTGCTTCCTTGCTTCCTTTGCTCCTTCCTCCCTTCTTCCCTTGCTTGCTTGCTTGCTTCCTTGCTTCCTTGCCTCCTTGCTTCCTTGCTTGCTTGCTTGCTTCCTTCCTTTCTTCCTTCCTTCCTTCCTAGAAGACAACAGAACCTGGAAAAAATCCCAAAACACGTTGGAAAAAAAAACTACCACAGAAAATGGGGGTCCTATCAATATTTGGTCCCGAGCAGCTATTGAAGCTAACCCCTTTGCTTCGCAAAGCAGACTCAAGCTATAGCCCTTACCAGGCTACCTTTCGTGATATGATGATATGCTATGTTGTCACCCTCAAGCAGTTTCCCCCAGTATCCTCCAGTAGTATATTACAGTGATATGGATGTGGGTCAAGCCCCAGTGCCTCAGTGAATATCAGTGAATATCCAAAATTGAATAGAATAGTGAATAGTAGTTAGGTCAAGTTGAGTTGATGACGGGCGATGCATGCTGCTCAGTCACATGCACCCGTATGACTGACCTGTCAAAACCTTGTACATGGCTTGTACATGTCTGCAATGTAAAAGAGTAATTGCATGGTTCTGTTGATTGAGATACGATTGATACCTGGGCATACCTGGGCCATCGTGTAGGATGTCCAATGGAAGCAAGACGTTCGGCCCACTGTTTGCCCTTGATCTTCCCGAGTGGCACCCATTTGAGTGTAGAGAAATGCGACGCCATGGAAATGGTGCACGTTTCAAACACCGATCATTGCCAAAATGGGTGACCAATTGTACAAATGAAAGTGGCAAATACTCAGTTGATACGTGTTGATACATTACACACACGAATCAAAAATATATATAAATATAGACAAATAGAGCATTTGACCTACAGCGCCAATTGGTCTCCCTCCGCACGACTGGGAAGGGAAAGCGAAAAAAACCTTCGCCATCCCCGTTCGGCCAACAGGATGATCCCTTCCAACCTCGACATACCTGCCGGACCCAGTGGATGGACGGAACATGACGGACCCATCGGCGCTTGGACTGGGCGATTGAGGCGCTCAAAGTGGCAAAGCGCGCTTGCGCGCCTTGCTCAAGCTTCGGGCTTGATTGCCCAAGTCGATGCTCAAGGAGCTCACGGCAAGCGCCTCCTGAGGATGGAGGCATTGGACTGGGTGCTGCTCGTGAAAAAGAGATACCTTAGGAATTCAGCCACCCTTTTTGACGAAATTGGTCACAATCTAAGAGTAGTTTTATCCTTTTCCTTCTCCTTCTTATCCTTTATCTTGAAGCTCGAGCCAGTCATTCTTGCAGCGACCCGGTTGTTTTCAGGTCCGCAATAATGGTGGCTTTGGAGGCCAAGGGCTTGTGGGGCAGCTTGTGCCATGTGCCACCACCCGCCCTTCAAAAGCCTGTTCTGATAGTTTTTTTTTGGACGGTGTTTGTATAACAGTGCACTCATCTGACACATGCAGGAATGGGAGAACTGGGCCATTCTTGGATCTGGTGGTTGTTTTTTGGTTCGTTGTTGCCCACCAATTTGGATGTCGGCTTGGAGAAGTAGCATCGTAAACCTTGGACACTACCGGACTGTCCGTGTCACGTGAAAGGCGCCTGCCTCCACCTTTTTCTGCTTCCCCAAAGGGTCAATGCGTTCAGAGCTTCTCCAACGTTTGGTTTCTCGCACCGCCTGCACCACCCTTAGCCAACTGTCGTCCCTTTGTGCAGCGGTCCCGCGACCCAACCGGGGTCGTCTCGGAACGAAGGCGCGACAAACGGTCTGTGCAGCAGCGGCTCGGAGCCATCAAGATTGGTGCCTGACTCCAACGACTTCCTTGGCGACATCACCTGACGAGGTTCCCTCTGGTGTTTCAAGTGGCCTTTCAAGTACCTGGTCTGCAAACGAATGATTACACTGGAGAGCCCGAAACAAGCTAACAAAAGTGAGCTTTTGCACTTCCCAGGTGAACCTCTCAGCGCGAAAGTTATCAGCTTGTTTCTACTCAGCTTCTGTTGTGCACAAAGCAGGTGCCCTGCCTCCAATCTCCTACTATATACCCTTTACTTGTGCTTGTGAATCATGACATGTTATGACCCATCATATGTCTGACATTTCGGTGATTCACGTTGCTTTGCCGCTACGACCCTCGCAAGCTTCTCAAGAACCCCCCCCCAAATGGTTCCAGCCACTGATGAGGACTAGTCGCCAAGCAAAATTGCAGAAGTCCTCTGCAAAAGGTCTTGATTTCAAGACACTACCAGACTACCAGTTGGGTTCTGTCACTTGAGTTGTAAAGACTGAACCCCTTTTGGTGGGATTGGTGGGATCTTCTCTCTAGTCAGAGCAGAACATGGCTCCGTTCCACGTCAAATCGAACGATTTTGAGCCATGATCGGAAATGATTCTCTAGACTCTAGACTTCCAATCGTTTGCTCTTCCAGTCCGCAGCCGAACAAATGACAAAGGACTCTGCCAATGATGACGTCGGTACTTCGGAAGAATAGAAGGGGGTGGTGCCACGTTGCACACGAGCAGGGTATAGTATACCCTTTCCATCATTCGACGAAGAAAGGGCATAAAAGGCAATCTAAGAATCTATGCCTATGCTCTGAGCAGCAGCTAGCAGCTCTGGAGGACCCAAACATTCATCAAAAGGTCCGGCCTCTTGTTCCAGCAGCGGCGCTAACCTGGATCCGGGACACGGTGTTGTTCCTCCGGCCCGGGAACGTCTTTTGGAGTCTTTTTGGAATCACAGAACACAAGCCTCATGGTCTGAATCTGCATCAAATTCCCCCAAAAGCAACGACTGCAAAAATGTGAATGTCATTGTAATCATAAATTTTGTGTGTGCTGTCTTTAAAACTAAGTAGGTGCATTACGAAAACTCCACATATAACATCATATAACTTGCTGATGCAACATGTTGACGATGGAGTTTGTCCACAAACTCCATAATTAGGGGCATCGCCTCCAAAATTGTACACAAATGTTGGGAAAACAATTTCCGAGCACGAACACGGGCCCAAAGATCCCAAAGGGGTTCACATCACTTGCTCGAACAAAAAAAACCACTGATCTGGAAAGGCGCACTTCTGATAACCCACCCGTCTGGAACAAACGCCAAGCTGCTCGTCACTTTTCTTGGTGCAGCCAAGACACTTAGCCCAAACGTTATCAGTTGCAATAAGGTTGTCGGCAATTCGTTGCGTGGGAACTGGTTGAATCTTGTCCTCCAAGCTTCCATACCTTCATTTCTTGAAAGTGCACGAAACCATTGCGCAAGACCTTGAAATGGGTCCAGTTCGCTGTGCCTATCTTAAAAAAATATTTATTGTCCTTCGCGGTGGTTTGTTTCGTTGGCGGTGTGATTCTTGATCCAACTGGAAGACTCATCCTTGGACACATTGAATGTGAAGTCAAGGTGCCCTGCCCAGACCCCAAAAAGAAAAATCAAAAGGGTGCACACTCGATCAAATGATGACCAGTGTCGTTCTCATACAACATGTCTATACAACATGTGGATGACAAGGTAATTAGGATTACAACAATCTTTGTTCACGCCAACACCTGCCATGCGCTAGTGAATCTATGAAAGCCCCTGTGGCAGGGGGATAGCAAACCGATGGTTTTCCCATGGGAGGCCTGCGTTCCTTTGGGCAAAGACTAAGCATTCTTCACCCCATTAGCAACATGCTTAAATCCCGGGTTAGTACATATGCAAGCACCTAGGAAAAGCTGGCTGTGCAAAGCCCGATCCGGCGCCGATCAGCGGTGTGGTTTCATTTAGGCCAAGAGAGTATACACGGGTTTCTGGCCTCAACAACAAACTGCAAGCGCTAGGACTTCCCCAAGAGGGCTGGAGGCCATGGACAGTGAAAACTCGATGCGTTGACCGGACCGATTGCCTTCCCGTGCCAAATCCCACAGAAAGTTTTGAACCTGAAAGCCGTCCACATCCAAAACAGAAAATATGTCAAACTCTGATCGAGCTGAGCATGTGGGCAACCTCAAAGATGGGAGCTTGCTTTGGTTGCCATCCCAAGTGCCTGAACGTCTGGAAGCTCTTGGTCAAGTCTTTGCCGGCGTCCTCCAATCGGGCCAGCCGCCGTCCCGAACCACCATCGAAATCGACGTGCCCCATGCCCAGGGAAGCTTTGTGCAAACATACGAAAGAAAGCAAAAAAACGCATTGAAAGCCTTTACTGTATAATTAGGTGCCCGAAATGGTCCCATTTTTCAAGACACACCCAGGTTTGAGTTGCAACATGTTGAAACATGTTGAAACTAGAAATGTTGACTCTTGATTAATCAATGAAAGGCTGATTATGTGGCAAACCCGAGAAACGATACAAAGCAGCTTCAGGGGCCTCTTTTACCTTGAGCCAAAATTAGTAGCACTCGAGGAGGTCAAACCCTACCCTTTGGTTGGATTTTTTCTGTACCCCCCTCCTGCGAGAGTTTGCGAACTACTGCAAATGGTGATCGGGCATTGCGGTCGAACGACAAAGCTAAGGGCTCTTGCTGCACGGGAAACTCGACATTGACTAATTTTTTCTTTGCGAATCTGTACGGAGCTAGTCTATGACAACGAGTGATTGCACATGGAAAGGACATGTGCTTGTGGAAGTTTGGTCTGTTCATTCCTGGGTGCATCGACCGCTACTTCCCCACACATGGGCGACAGTGCTGCTCCTTTGTGAGAACTGTCTCATTTTCCAACCGAATTTTGGGATACGCAATGCACGACACTTGCAGGGCGCGGCACGCCGCAGCTCACTGCAAGAGCAAAGAGATGCGCCTCCTCATGCAACCTTTGGTCTCTACCCAGGAGTAGCCAAAATGGCTTTCCAACACGAGAATTGATCAAGGCTGGCTCAACAAGGAACGGGTCTATTCTTTGTACGGATCAAAAACTCCAATCATATCAAGCGCTCTACGAAACTCTGGACCCAACCTTTTCAAGTTAAGACGTTGCCAACTTGACCAAGGATTGCAAGGAATCGATCCCCAAAGATCAACACCGTTCATGTCATCTGAGTTTAAAACTTCGAGAAGTTGCGATTGCACTTCAATCTTTGCAACGTTTCCATTGGCTTTGGTGAGGCGAATATGTTGGACACCAACGGATTCTGACACTTTCCCAAGATTGGATTGAGGGCTACAACAAAACTCGATCAAAGTACCATACGCTGGCAACAACTTCTGGGCTGACCTTTTCCCTTTCTTCCCACCCTCGATTAATGGGCGGCAATGCCTGCTGCTTACCACCCGTGGTCTCAAAAGCACCGCTCGGAACTTCATCAGCCTCAGGCAGAAGTTGAAAGATGGTTTTATGAGTCCAGAAACCTTTGAGCGTTTTGTTGTTTCCTTTCCAATGCTCTTCAGTCATGGTTTCCTCGCTACCGCTCTCAAAGTACTTGACTTCGGTGGTTCTAGCACCAAGTCTCTTGGCCTTCGCGGGAAGGTCATCGGGCAACAGGGGATTAAAGAGCTTTTTGCGTTTGACGTGGTGAAATCGAATTAGCTGATCTCCTTCAAACTTCCACGAATCAACGCCCTTTGCAACGCCCTTGGGAAGTGTGAACTTCCCCCCCCTGATTAGCTTGTCAAACCTTTCCCTACAACTGGGAGTGTGCTCTCCCTCTCCTCTCTCGCAAGCTACGCATCCTGGACTGAGACCATCATGCATAAATCTGGAGTGTGTGATGGATTCATGCATCTTCCAGACGAAGCACTGGCAAGTCCTCCAGGGATTCCAGTTGCGCTTTGACGGCTTCTCTTCAGGGAAACCTGTTTTCACCAGTTTGCACAACAACCACTGATGTCAAAACTTGGAGACTCGATTTCCCTCCTAACCATGACTTGACGTTGGCAACATCACAAGCAATATAATCAAGTACGTTTCCACTGAACGCCGGACTCAATTCTCCAACCAAGGAACAATCCTGCTGAAGTCTTTGCCCCGCGCTTGGATTTGGGAACAATTTATTTAATACTGGATGAGAGCCCCAAAAGGAATGTGAAGCCCCTCAAACTCATGGTCATGGAGTTTATTCCAATTGCTAACGGTAGATGCCGAGGCAGCATAACGAATTGTCAATGGCCACAGTTCATTGAACTTGCCAACTTGGACTAAGCAACACCTAGTAACATCTTCGAGGGTTCGAATGGCTCGGTTGATGATGGCGGTCTTCCGGTATAGGACACTCGCATCATACACCAGGCCTAACTGACTTGCAGTTGCTTCATACTCAAGAGTGTTATCTGCATGAAATTTCACCAACGGACGCCTTCCACCAAAATGCTTGAGTGCTTTTACGCATTCTTCTGTGCTTTTGGAGGCTGCCGGATAAGCCATCACAATTTTAGTGAAATCATCAAGCAAAATCAATCATTTGGTTTCGCCTTTGAATCCTTTCTTGGAACTGTCTAATCTACCTTTCGCAACGATGATATGGTCTGCATGGATCCTATCCCCAAAATGCTCACTAGGTTTATCGTCAGTCAAGACCCTAGGACCTTTGACGTGTCTTGCAGGTAGAGCATCTTCCTTTGCCTCTTGGCAAATGGGACAATCCGCCCTTTTTTTGGGAGGTGCAGAATTGAATGGTCCAACCCGATATCCGGACTCCCCCCTTCTGGGTCAGGTGCAGGAGGTTTTGGGACATGGTTATCAGAGCTAAGACTTGGCTCATACCCATCCGATTCCCCATCTGCCTCGCAACTCTTGAATGTTGCTGGGCTTCACCAAAACAAGCTTAGGAAGCTTAGCATCCTCTGACACATCTGCGCTGCCACGGGGTAGCCAAACGAACGCTTTGCCTTGTCGAACTTGGTCCCCAATGGACAAGGCCCATGGGCTATCTTTCAACAAGTAGCATTCGTTTGAGCCAGAAAGTTCACCCACTATTTTGCGAGACTCTGGTCCGTCGCGTTGTCCACCACCCGTGGAGAAAGTAACAGGCCTATTGGATTGTCCAATTATGTTAGGATTGACATGGCCAATACCGCCAATGTTGCGGCCCGCGCCCGTATCACCCAACCATGTCACTTCACCAGTGTTCGCATTGAAGCTTTTGAAAGGCACTTCACTGAATTGCATTGGCAAAGCAGGGGTCTGATTGTCAGAACATAGGATGCCAGGACAGCACAACGCGAAGGAAGACACGACTGCTTTAACCACCCTGGCGATCAAAGCTTTGGCTGATGGCAGGTTGCCTGCAGCAACGGCAAACGCAGCAGCGACACTTGACCGGGCCTTTGGCTTGGCCTTAGGCTTAGCCTTTGCAGAAGAGTCGTGGACAAAGGGACACGGATCCCTTCTGCATGTGCCACTTGGGTAAAAGAGACACGGTGTTCCCTTTTCTCCCGCAACTACCTCTTATCCTTACCCTACCCTTTACCACCAGCTTGGCTAGACGATGAAGGCTGGGACTTCGGATTGGCCTGGCCCTTGGGCTGGGCCTTTGAGGATGAAGCCATTGCAATATCAACATCTCCCTTTTTGTTCGTGGACGACTCCCTTCTTGTCTTTCTTTTTCTCCTTCTTTTCGGCTGACGCTGATGCTGCATCAACTTCGACTTGTGTGCACTTAGGATAGATGCAGTGTTATGATCGTGCTGCGATTCATCAATGCAATCCATCATGGATTGCCATAACCATTGGAAGGTTCTGATGGCATCTCCAACGGCTGCTTCTTTGAATCTATCAACGCTAGCTGCTAGCTTGGGGACATTCTTAAGGCATTCGAACAACCAGGTACGAAGGATGGGCTCAGCAGGGTACTCTGAAGTTTCCAAACTGGAGAGAACAAATTCCACCCGGTCACGGAATACCTCTAGATCCTTTATCTCCACACCCTGGGGTTTTAATGCCAAAAGATGTTGTTGGCTCAAACTCATCCCCCGTTCTTTGTCGGGACGGAACTTGCGACAAATTCGGCCTAACAACAATAGACCCTGGACTTGCATCCCTTTGCGAACACTGCGCTCCTGAAGTGCTTGGAAATCCACACCGAAGCGACTTCCCTTGGCAGCGTCCACGAGTTTGGAACCTAGCGCTCGGCTTAGCACAGGGAAGTCGTCGGACTCGACTTCATCACCTTCTAAGGCACGACATGGCACGACCTAGCCATGTCAGAAGTTCCTTTTCACTACTGCTACAACACGACACTAGCTGCGAAATTAGCGAATTCTTCCAAGTTCGCAACTCTGCGGCCGACCTTGGGAGAGAAGGAATCTTGATCTTCTCATATGACTTTAATCTCATCAGTTTCCTTTCTGCTGCATAACCGGGGTCAAGTTCTTCAGAGGATGAACCCCCCGATGAATCAGAAGAAGAATGGTGTTCTTCCCTTTTCCCCTTTTTCGCTTACTCATCTCATCCCTAAGGTTTTGGACTTCCTCTTGGAGAATTGCCAAACCTTGATTGACAGATTCATTGGTTTGGGATTGTTGTTGAACAGGTTCGTCAAGACCAAACAAGTCAAATCTCCCTGGATTTGAAGCATTATCTGTTCCGTGAGATGAGCGATCTGACTCTGCAGCTCAAGGACCACCTGGGAATCCCTGGATTGGGTTTGATTACGAAAATCATCCAAGTTCAACTGTTTCCCTCAGAATTTGTTGGTGACTAGATTCGGCTTCAGCCAAAGTCTCACTTCTAACATGTTCCGCAATTCGGGCACCAACGTTCTGGGTATGTTCCATGGACGCTCTTGCCATGTCTTGGACAACATGCTGGTGACGAACCTCGGCTTCAGCAATAGCTTCGTCTCTAGCATTCTGACGGGAAACTCTCCTCTCATCATTGACTACTTGATTATGTCTCAACTCTGCTTCCGCGATTGTGGCGCTACGAACTGTTTCTGGGGGAATTCCAACCCGAATGGCTTGAATGGCTTGGATGGACCGGGCATCAACAAAGGAGGCACCTTGTGGAAACTCCGGACCCTGACCTGGATTGGCGGAATCTTGGAATCTACCTCTCCTAGCCACTGTGTTCTCTTCATCCTCCAATTCAAACCTACCGGCTTCCAAACCCGATAAATCACTGGCAACTTCCGAAGATTGATAAGGGCCCTTAAT